TGAAAAGGAAAAATAATAATAAATTAATAAAGTTTTGTCGAGCAGCAGAAAATGGGGTATATTGTGCAACGAGATTGACTATGCTGGCTTGAGCCCAATGCAAACATTAGGAAGATGCATAAGAAAAGCTACTTTTCCAGCCACTGACCAGAATTCCTGATAAAATTCCAAGTCAAATCCAGGGAAACAGGGTCACAGCCAATTACAATCCAGCTAGAACTGTTGCCATGGCAATGCATGGAACTTTGCATGTAATGTATTATGTATGGCACAGGATTCGCCCTTAACATGAGTTAAGTTAAAAGAAAGCGTGAGATAAAGAGCCACACGCTTTGGCAGGCTCTTACTGCTTTCCCAGCTTTGATGTAAATCTCCACTGCTGCTGGCAGAAGGTGAGTTTGAAAATCTGTGCTGGTGTGTGGAAATAAATGGTGACTGTAGAGAGCCAGGGAGTGCGACAACATGTTTCAGACCGCAGAGCAGACAACATAAAGCAGACGTGTCCTACAGAAAGCCTGTTTACTTTGCACTATTCATCTCTGCATGTCTTTCCAAAGAACAACAAAAGCTCATTATCAGAATAAAGTCCGTTTCTCTGCCAGGCAAATGACATCCATGCGGGCTGACGTCCAAATGACAAAGTCTTGCCCGCATCGCTTTCCAGTAAGTATGTCGTTTCACTCAGGAATACATCACATTAGTCAGGGATATTGAACAGTCGGCTGGTCGTTTTGCGAAACAAACCCTGAGGCTTGAGTCTGAGCTCAATATCTCGAGACCACCACAAAATTGACACTCTTAAGTCAGCCAGCTTATTAATGCCTTACTTATGATTGTCTCTGCATGTGATACTGGATACAAAAAAAATGATATGTAGCCATAAATGCATAAATCTTACACAAACACCAATGCATTATCTTGATACTGCCAGTTGAAATACCTCGTGTGCTTTTCTTCAAGTTTAAGTGTTTATAATATTTACTGTTGGGCAAGTATTAGTTTTTCCTAAAAGTATTGGGTTTGCGGCATAAGTGAACATATATACTGTATTATATGTACTTCTCCAATAATGACAATAATAATACAAATTGTTCAAATATAATTTTTAAAGGAGTATTACAAAGTATCACTCAATTTTTCTTCCATGTTTGTTTAAACCGTAAACCACAAAGTTGTGCAGCATTTTGTTTGTTTGCCAAAAAAAAATTAAAATTGTATAAATTTACATTTCAGATTTTTGTATGCATTCGTTTGATTACTGCCGTTTTGATAGTAAATTTGTATTATATCGTAAAAAAAAAAAAAAACAGAATCCAGAAAAATTGATATTAATATCACAGAATTTCTGAAAAAATTAAATATCTCATAGGGCACTGTTATTGTTCAAATGCATTAATTGTATTAAATTGCTAAAGGTTTATGAATTCAGCTGATTACAAGTCGTTTTTATTATTAAAATGTAATGTAATGTTAACCTTTACAACAAAATCCAGAACAATTTAGAAAAAAAAAAGTAAGAAGAAAAAATTATACAAAATGGTAACTCTTTACAATAAGATTCCATTTGTTAAAATTAGTTAACTGCAAAAATATTTATAAAAACCTTTATTAATCTGAGTTAATGTTAATTCTAACATTTACTAATACATTATTCAAATCAAAAGTTGTATCTTTTAATATTATTTAATGGTCCTCAGCTAACATGAACTAATAAGGATCACTAATGTTAACGAAGATGAATAAATACTGTAACAAATGTATTAGTCTTAATAGTATTAAATGCATCAACCAATGATAACTATTGAAACTTTATTGTAAAGTGTTACCAACAAAATTCATAGGACCCTGAGACTCTTTATTATTGTGTATTACCAGTAAAAATGTAACATTATTATAATAATGCTTAAATAAGTAGAATCAAAACTCTGCATTCGGCTGTTTTCAGATGCATTGCAGTGCCTGAGCTGGGTAATTAGTGTTGAGCTGCTGCGTGAGTTTGCTGGTGCATGACTGAGCCATGAGTGCATGGCATTATGAGAGAGCATCATGTTTTAAGCAGCAGTCTGAGAGCAGAAAACAAGACTGGCCTTTTTTTAGGGCAAGCCATTAAAAAACAGTCTTCCAAATGACCTAAATAAGGACACCAGCAATCAAACAATCAACTTTCAGCAGCTAATAATTATTGACCCCGTCACCCAATTAGAACACAGTGCATTTGCATTTGTCTATATGAAGTATTTCCTGTAACCAGTTTACCAATCAGATGTATTTTCAGCACAGATTTTAAAAAGGTCTTAAGACTTTAATTTCCTTTTTCACAAATTAAGGCCTTAAACGGTCTTAAATGATAGCTGCAATTCTTAAATTCATAAAGTCATGGCATTAAATGTTGCAAGCATTGCAAAAAAAAAAAAAAAATTCTTCCTCAGTATTTTTCTCCCACTTAAATCAAGATACTTTTACCTTAGAAGCAAAATGACGACATGAAGCCTCGTTTTCTGAGAAATGGAACAGAATTATGCTTAAAACGAGAACGAATATTTGTCAACGGGGTTTGAAAATGACAAAAATACTGAAGATCAGCACTGTTGTTGTTGTTTTTTTTGCAGTGTCATCAACTTACATTGCAGAGTAAAAGTTATTTCAGTATTTTATGTAAAGTAAAAACTTTTAAATGTAATGCAATGAAAATCAGTTGAAAGTTGTTTTCAAACTTTGATGCACTGCATATACAAGACATTTACATTTAGAGACCATATTGTTTTATTGTGTTTCTTTTAAATTGTATTCTTGGTTTAAACAAGGTCTTAAATACACCTTCATAAAACCTACAGAAACCCTGAATTAGGGATGCACAATTCATTAAAACATGACCATTAACTAATTGTGCAAGTGTAGATTAAAATACAAAAAAAATCTACTTGTTCTATTTACCATGTTTTTACACTGTTTGTGCAGCATTGAGCATTGTCACTGGCTGCTGAATGTGAATGGGATGCGAGAGAGAGATGGAAATCCTGGAGTGGATCCGGAGCAACACGCTCAGTGCTCAGAGTCTCAGTCTGTGAGGGCAAAGAGACACATTTCTACCCTCCTGTCTGAATCTCTCTATAAAACAGATAATATACCTCATACTGCCAGGATTTCCACTCACAAGTACTTGAGTAAAGATATGCAGCGAAGGCTTTGAGGACGTTTATTGAAATGAATGCTGTGTGTTTCAAGGTTTGCTTTACGCTCGAAGTATAAAAGCGGAGCGTGTGATGGGATGAGTGCTGTGTGTTGTGGCACACTGACAAACATTTGACACTTTGTGTGCGCTTTGACGTAATTCAGCTGCATCAGTGCATGCATTATGACAAGCACAGAAGTCATGGATCGTCTAGAGACCTTCATGGGAAAAAAAGCTCCGCAAAATCACAAATCGTTTCCAGCACCATTTTTTGTCGCGGCCCATGATTGAGTTATCATCCAAACGCAAGGGTCCACACTTTATAAAAGTTGATATACAAAGACAATGTGACGTTCTGAGGGTTTCAGTTTCTAAATAAAACCCATCAAAACGGCAAACTTAAGTTAAAATTTACCGTGTGATGTATGTGGTGCAATTGATAAAAATCAGACAAATCCACAAAAACCTGCCAGCGGCAAAACATTAAATTACAGCAGCCAGTGACTTATTAGTCCGACTTTTTAGTTATTAGTTCTTTATTTTGATTCATTGAATTTTTCTGGACGTCCCAATAGTGCCTGGTCTTATAATTGTTGTTTGCACTGAAGATGTAGGCATGAACAGTGTTTGTTCAATTTTTTCTCACAAAGTGGGAGTCGATGACAGCTCATTGAATTATATGGTAACAGGTTATACACACTTAGAGGACACTCCCAATGTAAAGCACAGCAAATTTGGCCTCTAACACCACCAACGTTTAATACTGCACTTATATCTCTGCTTGCAAATTTGAAAGCATGTGGTCTAAAAACCGTATTGTGCAATGTCACATTCATATCTCAAATGTGGCATGGCAACAGAAAACGCCTCTTTTTATATTTTGGTCATTAATATCATATACTTTGTCCTCACACAATTCACAATGTTCCCTGCGTCTTAGGGAAATATGACCAACCATATGGTCATAACCATAGCTACTGCATGGCAGTCGTTAATAATCATATCTTATGATGGCTTTTTGCGAGGATGCAAAACAAATCAACATGTAGATTTTATACGGGGTAAATGCACAAATGTTGTCTTGTTTATTCATCTGGTGGCATGCATTAATCGCAGATATCAGGAAATATTTTTGACATGTTATACGGCCATTTGCGAATTTGCTGGACCAAAAGAAAAATGCTGACCCATCTACTTCATACAGGACTCAGGAAATCACGCTGATGCAATTTAGGAATAATATTATGACATTACCGCGGTAGCTGTAGACATAATGCATGCTAAAAGTGTAGTCCGTAATTTTAGAAATGACATCAAAACAAGTTATTTCTTAATGCAAGTAAATGTCTGGCAGAGCAGATATAAAAATATCTGGAGTTAGTTAAAATGGAAGACATCTGTTATTTATATTACAACTGATAAATATCTAGCAACGACCTAGTAATGTCTAGTACTTAACATAATGCTTTTGTGGTTAAATAAGTGGAAAAAAGGCATTGCATGATTAAAAATATCTTCAGTTTAGTAGATTTGCATGCATTTGCATGCATTTTTTTTGCAAGCCAAGATATCTGCAAATAAAGTGACACATATCTGACAATTCAAATACATTTCTAATTTCAAATGAGATTTTAAAAGGATATAACCAGAACGAATTAACAAAGCGGAAAGCATGATTTGCAAAAGTGTCTGCCTATTCAAATGTCACAGAGACAGTTTTGAAAATGCTTGCACTTAAGAGTCTTTCACAAGGAAGCATTGCTTTAGGTGTTGCTGGGGCCTGACACCAGGAGCGAACTAATCTCTAATCTTCCGTTCTTTCCTCTAGCCTTCAGTCGTGCAGCGCTGCCGTTCGGTCTGGTGCGGCGAGAGCTGTCGTGTGAGGGTTACCCTATCGATCTGCGCTGCCCGGGGAGTGATGTCATCATGATCGAAACCGCCAACTACGGCCGCACAGACAACAAGATATGCGACGCTGACCCCTTCCAGATGGAGAACATTAATTGCTACCTCCCGGATGCATATAAAATCGTGTCTCAAAGGTAAAAGACCGTTTGCCATGCATTGCCTGTAGTCCAAATGTGGATGCTATTTCCTCATTTCCTTTTCAGTTTGTAGATACTGGATTTTGCTCTGCAGATATTATGTGGTTGTTTCTTTGTCTGGGCGACTATGGAAAAGCTTGACAGTTTAACATGCAAACACGAGTTCAAATTCTTCCAGAGAAAACGAAAAGAGTTCTTTTATAAATAAACACCACCTGTGCCAGTCCACTTTTATTGTCCAAACATCATTAGGGTTTGAAATACTCAAGACCTTCCCCAAAATGAACCATATGCTTTTGCTTTCAGGACGGCCTAAATTTGACGTTTAATTTCTTCTTTTGCACAAGGAGGTCATATACTTGAAATGGCAGAGCCTATTATAGAGTAAATATCCTCTCTTTATATTAGTGGCTCTCTGAAGGCGTTCTTGTTTGACTTGAATGTATGAACTCTCACACAGATTGGTGAAAGCATCTGAAGTATCTAAAGCAAACCAGATATTGTTGCATTCAGTTCACATTTATTTGTGTAGCGGTTTTCACAATGCGTGTCGTTTCTAGGCAGCTTTACGGAAAATGAATGTTTCTACATTACAGTTTATTCACCTAGCAAGTACAGTTTTCTCACACACTTTTACTGCATATAAATCCATTTCATGGAATTCTGCAAATTTTCTCCTAGAATCAGGTAATTTTAATAGCCAACACTATTTTTAGGCCATAGATGTTTTTTGACATTTGGTTGTTACTGGGTATTCATGTTTCTAGGGTTCACGTTGTACATTCATGTGAGCTGTTATAATAACAGGCTTGTCTCACTCTTATAGCCGATTGTACCACATAGTTTGTCCTGAACAGACTTTTTGGACCATATAACAGTAAGATTAACCATAATGCATTTGGGTACATTTTGATCCAGAAGAGATGCATAAAAAATTCTTAAAAGAAAAGCATAGTTTTTAGTAAGGGAGCAAAACTTTGCAAATGCTTTGAGACCTTCAAAATATATATATTTTTTAATTCCATTCATTCCAATGGGGTTGATACTGTAATTCTCAGATTATATGTTCTTATAAAGATTTAATGCAATTATATATTTAAAATTTGAATACACAGACAGACAGACACACACACACACACACACACAGACATACAGGCGCACACACACACAGACAAACACACACACAGACAGACAGACAAACAGACAGACACGCGCACACACACAGACAGACAGACAGACACACACACACACACACACACACGCACGCACACACACACACACAGACAGACAGACAGACAGACACACAGACAGACAGACAGACAGACACAGACACACAGACAGACAGACAGACACGCACACAGACAGACACACACACACACACACACACACACACACATCTTAGTTTTCTTGGTGTGGTTTGTGCATCACTTGAAATTTCAAAGAATTTCTACATTTTTTAATGAATAAAAAAGGGTAAATGCAGTAATAATATGGTAACATTCAAAATTGTTGCTGTTACACTCTAACACTGCATTGTTGCACACTGTATTGCTTTGCTAACCTGGGTTGCCAGATCTGAGTAAAAAAAACTAGCCCAATGACCCAAAAATATAAAAATCTAAAATACATTTATTTTTGCAATCACTGTTATGCAGTACAAACAATTTTAAATTGAAAACCACTGTACAGACTAGTTGTAATCATAAAAACTGTCTATATTCATAAAGAAGCTCAAAGGCTCTCCACCAGTGGCCTTTCCCCCTCACAAAATGCATGATCCAGCACAGTTTTGGCATTGGTAGATTGTAAAATGGGTAAAAAAAAATTAAATACAAGCATTTCAGTCAAATACAGTTTATGCAATATGTCAAACTTTTAACCTACAGGGAAAAAAAGAAACCGCCAGCAGCAACAGTTTAAAAGGAGCCCAATTCAACGGGAAAACCACAGACTTGGCAACCCTGGTGCTAACCCTGCTCCGGAGCAATCAGGGTTTAAAGAGACAATAAGCCAAGGTTAAACAGTGTGAAAAGCCCAAAAACTGGAAGTCGACTGTCCATTATTCAGCTGTCAGGAGTTTGGCTACTCATTCAGTCATCAGAGTTAACCAGCAGAAAACAACATGGGGTTAGTTCATCCAAAAATGAAAATTCAGTCATCATTTACCATTACCAGCACCACAGAGGAAATTCTCAGGTTGTATTCATATTCAGTGCTGCGGGATTTGAACGTCCTTTAGGGTTTTCTGCACTTTTTTTTCTTTTCTGTTTTATATTCCTCGTCAGAATTACTTGCAGTTGGCCTTGAGTTAGAATTAATGATTTTTTTCTTAATTAATTAATTCCCCCCCCAGTTAGCCTAAAGCCAAACTGTCTTGTGGTTAACATGAGGATGTGTAAGCATGTATTAACACAGCCGCACTCGGTGCATGCAGAACATGATGCAAGGAAGGTGCAATTAACAAAAAAATATACAAGACTTCTTCATGCAGAAGCATGATGGACACATAACCAATCTAGATGTGTGGGAAAAGATCACGTAAGGTCTTAATGTGAAGTCAAAACTTCAAAGCCGAAGAAAGGTGTTATGTTGAACACACTCCTATGCACTGTAAAAAAAAATGCTGCTTTAATTAGTTATAACAATGTAAAATTTGTTGACTTAAAAATCCAACTTAACTAAAATTGTAGATTTGGCGCATTATATAAATATATAAATAAATATATGATCCTCATAACTATATATTCATTTTAAGTAACTAGGACTGTCACTATTGATTATATCAATGTTTGAATATTTTTTTTCCCCTTTTATGATAAATTGGGTAATTTTTGAAAATTCGCCATAAAGTAGACTTAAAGGGATAGTTCACCCAAAATGAAAATTTGCTGTTAATTTACTTATCCCCAGGCCATCCCAGATGTAGGTGACTTTTGTCTTTAATAGAACAGTAAAGAAGATTTTTAGCTGAAACTATGGTCTTTGGGTGTTCATAAAATGCAAGTCAATGGCTACCGTCATTTTAAGAGTCAAAAAAAGCATATTCAAATTAATACCCGTGGCTCCTGACGATATATTGAGGTCTTATGAAGTGAAGCGATCAGTCTGTGCAAGAAACTGAATATCATTTACAACATTATTACCTGTAATCCAGAGGGTGAGTAAATTAACAGCAAATTTTCCTTTTTGGGTGAACTATCCCTTTAAGTGACTTGGCTTGATGGGGAGCATTTTATTGTGCTGATAGTGTACTCTAGTATGCTATCAGTCAGCATCGTAAAAACCTCTCTGAGAATTTTTGTCCATTAATTCTGTTGAATTTTGTTTGGTGCTTCAGGTGTAACAATCGGACGCAGTGTGTTGTCATCACTGGCTCGGATGTCTTTCCAGATCCATGTCCTGGGACGTACAAGTATCTTGAGGTCCAGTATGAATGTGTGCCATACAGTAAGTGATCTTACAAATATTCTGAATTACTGCACATGATACCAAACAATAATAATAACAATAACAATAACAATTTTATCTTTAATTTACTGTAAATTGTTTGCAACATAGTAGAACAGCAAAATGCTGAAATGTAACATTATGTAATTTGGTATGGTATATAATGTTTAAAGGAACACTCCACTATTTTTGAAAATAGGCTAATTTTCCAACTCCCCTAGAGTTAAACAGTTGAGTTTTACCGTTTTCGAATCCATTCAGCCGATCTCCGGGTCTGGCGGTAGCACTTTTAGCTGTAGCTTAGCATAGATCATTGAATCTGATTAGACCGTTAGCATCTCGCTCAAAAATGACCAAAGAGTTTCGATATTTTTCCTATTTAAAACTTGACTCTTCTGGCCTCTTCTCTTCTAAGTTAGCCTATTTTCAGGCGCTGCGTAATATCATTGCGCCTGCTGCACCCATGGTATGTCAGCAAAGTTCCTTGATTATTACGCCGGAATGAGAGTATAGTTCCTAGCCATATCGGCTGGAAAACTATTTTCAAAAATAGTGGAGTGTTCCTTTAAGTGTTTTTCTTTTTTTTTTTTTTAGATGATAATAATAAAAAATCCCTAAAACCTGTATAATATATTTTAAAGGATTCAAAACTTCTTGTTGACAAATGGGTAAAACCTAGCGGTTTGAAGGATAGTGGCAAAGATTGGGAAAGATTTAAAATTATGATGAATTAGTTCTTAGGACTGCACTGTGATCCTTAAAGGCATAGTTCACCCAAAAATGAAAAATCTGTCATCATTTACCCTCAAGGTATTCCAAACCTGTAGGAGTTTCTTTCTGCTGTTCAACACAAAAGAAGATACTTTGAAGAATGTTTGTTAACAAAACAGTTGACGGTAGCATTGACTCCCATAGTAAAGAAAAAAAAATACTATGGAAGTCATGTTGGTTACCAGCATTCTTGAAATTCATATGGGTTTGGAACAACCTGAGGGTGAGTAAATGATGACAGATTTGTCATCTATGCCTTTAAATAGAGTCTTTTAATGTCATATGATTCTGGTTCTAAATATGCCTGACAAGATTGTTTGTTATATGAACTGTTGTTACACTGAATGACATTTTAGTGGGTGTCTTCTGTAAATCATGGTAAAAATGTATGACAGTCATTCTTTTTTGCTCAAAAAAAAATAAAAATTATCAGGACCGATTCTAATGTATGAAAAAACAACACCATTTAACCTGTATTGACTTTTATTGTTTTGATTCTTGAAATAAAAATTATTCTAATGTATGACCGATTCTAATGTATGAAAAAACAACACCATTTAACCTGTATTGACTTTTATTGTTTTGATTCTTGAAAACCCCTTTTTGTCTTTGACCCATGTTTTGATGTTGAATAAGTAATAGCAGCCCACACATAATATACCACTTTAAGTAAATGTACATATTGAGCTTAATAACAGGTTGAGTGTAAAATCTGTGTTTTATACTACACTATTGCTCTGTTCCAAAACATATTGAGCTACTCTTCATAGGAAGCATCCTGAACGAAAGAAACCTCTTAAGTGATTTGAAACTCTTTTCATGCACAGCAACTGTCACAATTACTGTTACCATGTTGCCAAGAAAATAACATGATAACCTGCAAAAATACAAAACACAAATGCAATATTACATTTATTTGCTGTGTGAAATATATTATTATTTTTATACAATTATTTATATATGTTGGTATATATTATAGTGTATAATATAAATGCATGCAAAATATATACATTTAAAATGAATCTAAATAATCAGTGCAGTGCATTCTGGGATTGCCTTATCCATGAAAGAAACATGCAATGCTGCCATAGATTTAGACAGACATTTGGCATGTTAGGAGTGCAACGATGAAGCCTTAAATTACTCTCTCTATACAGTAAGCAGCTCATTAGGATTTGGAACAGAGCCATTGTCTGTTTCAGCGTTTAGCTTCGTGCCGTTGTTTCTCCATCAGTGATTAAATGGAAATGTGTTTAATATCTTCAGCACAGATTTTGGATTTCTGATATTTTGTCTAGTTTTTGCAGCTGATGGCCGTTGCATCCTTGAGGAATAAAACATACTTCTCAGTCATCTTTTCTACAGATGCTTTGTTTTTTGTGTTTGTCTCTCTATTGAAAGCCTCTAGTTTTTCAGGTGGAGGACCGTATCCACGTCCTGTTTGTGGACACCAACATTTTTTTAAAGACTTTGATATGTCTTCTGAAAGTCATATTTCTTTCTGTATTTTTCATGTTTTTGGTAATTACATTAACTTTTTTGGTAACACTTTATGGGACCAATTTTCACTATTAACTAGTTCCTTAGTAGCATGCCTATTACTAGCATATTGGCTGTTTATTAGTACTTATAAAGCACATATTAATGCCTTATTCTGCATTGCCATATTTTAGATCCCTTAATCTCTAAACTTAACTACATTACTAACTGTTAATAAGCAGCAAATTAGGAGTTTACTGAGGCAAAAGTATGCGATTTATCGTGCAGCCCTAGTTTAAATTAATTTTTTCCACTGTACCACAGCAGTACAACCCCAATCTTTCTTTGTGTTCCAGTCATTTTACTGAATCCCTTCTGTAATCTGGCGGGATTCGCAAACGCTTGCTCTTGAAAGATGGCTCAGTACCCAGTTTATTTGGACCAGCTGGATCCACTGAATCGTAACTTGTAAGGATGATAAATAATAGATGTTTATATTTTCTATCGAGCATTCAAAACACAGAACTATGGCAATGGGCATATTGTTTCCGACATGCACTGAACGCGGTAGACCAATCACAACAGACTGGGCCATCTGACCAATCGTTTATTAGTACTTATAAAGCACATATTAATGCCTTATTCTGCATTGCCATATTTTAGATCCCTTAATCTCTAAACTTAACTACATTACTAACTGTTAATAAGCAGCAAATTAGGAGTTTACTGAGGCAAAAGTGATAGTTAATAGTTAGTTAATAATGAGAATTGATCTCCAAACTAAAGTGTGACCACTTTTTCAACTTGTGAATGAAAATGCTTTCATTCAACAAGGATTCATTAAACTGATCAAAAGTCACAGTAAATGCATTAAGAATGTTAAAGTGCCCCTTTTATGCCATTTCCAATATTGCCTTTCATGCAGTGTGTAATGTAGCTGTATGTGAATATAAACGATATCGTAACTTGTAAGGATGATAAATAATAGATGTTTATATTTTCTATCGAGCATTCAAAACACAGAACTATGGCAATGGGCATATTGTTTCCGACATGCACTGAACGCGGTAGACCAATCACAACAGACTGGGCCATCTGACCAATCAGAGCAGAGTAAGCTCAAAGAAAGGAGGGGCTTAGAGAGAGTGAATCTTAGAACTGCTTCGAACGAATCGTTTGAGAATCGTTGGAAAATGAGCTGATATAAAATTTTTGATATTTATATTTAATATTTTGAGAAAATGAAAGCATTTTTTGACCTTGCATGCATGTAATGATATGCAAAGTGCATGATAAAGTTATTGTCTCCCAAAAAGAAAGAATCGACTCTGAACAGCCTAAATAAGTCAGTAATTCGAATCCCTCTTCCGTGACGGCTACACGTAACACATTTGCACAATGCCCGCCTATGATCTATGTTGGCTGGCCGCGAACAACTTGACCCGCCCTCAAACACTGTAGTTTGTTCATGTGGTTAACATCATGTCAAGAAGACGCTGTGAAAGTAAATTTATTTTCACTTCCAAAAGATGAGTCTGCAAAGAATCGGTGGTTTAAATTAGGGCTGCACGATAAATCGCATGCGATATTTAACGCGCATCTTATCAGTAAAGCCGGTTCTGTAATCCACACTAGCACTTTTGGTGCGCACCCGGGTTCGATTGACGTCAGAGTTCGGTTCTTTTGGATGATGTGAACGCTGTCTTCCAAACTCAGGTGCGCACCCACGAACCGTACCAGAGTCCGCTTAAAAAGGGTGGTCTGGGCAGCGTTCTTTAGAGCATTTGCATAAGGCAGACGTAAGTGCCGTTGTGTACTGAAGCTTTGGAAACAAAACCAACGGTTCAAAAGCATAAATATAAAATTGAAGAGAGCAATGCTACGCATTTTGCCATCTTCTCCTGCGCCATCGTTACTAAGCAACGGGGTAAACAGCTGCTGGCCTGATGACGCAAACGAACCGCGGTTCGGACCCAAATAATATAATGTGAACACAGTCCAGCGGGGGCAGGGGGAGGGGGGAGCAATCTAACTCGGGTTCGGACCAAGCAATCGAACCAAGTGTGAAAGCACCCTAAATGCTGTTCTTTTGGACTTTCTATTCATAAAAGTATCCTATAATGTTTCACAGTTTCCACAAAAATGATATGTTTTCAACATTGATAATAATCAGTAATGTTTCTTGAGCAGCAAATCAGCATATTAGAATGATTTCTGAAGATCATGTGACACTGAAGACTGGAGTAATGATGCTGAAAATTCAGCTTTGATCACAGAAATAAATTACATTTTACAATATATTAAAATATCAAAAAAGATTTTAAAATGTAATAGTACAGCTTTTTTCTGTATTTTTGATCAAGCACATGCAGACTTGGTGAGGCAGCTTCTTTCAAAAACATAAAATCTTACAGACCCCAAACTTTATTTCGCTTTACTTGGCTTTTCGTTTTAATGATAACTTTAAAAACCGAATAGAAGCCTGCTGGCAAGTCAGATATTTCTTTGGCAGTGGACTGAATAGATGGCCATTGCAGAGCTAATCCTTCTCCCTTACAGGAAAATTAGTGCGCAAACATTGACACTTGATTAATATTCATGATCCAAGATTGTTCCCACGCTGCTTTCTTCGTTCCTGGTTTTCAGCATTTTTAGTCACTTTTTTGTAATTCACTTAAATTGTCACGAGGTCATGAAAATATAAATTAACACATTAACTGACTTGCCTATACATGTATAATTTGTTTTTGTGACAGTATATTGTTCATGATAATGTTGTTCAACTGCAATCTCATCTAATCTTGGAGAATATTTGAAATTAGACAATTAATGGTTGAAAGAAAATATTGTATGCTTGTGTCCTTTTTAAATACCTTTTAATATCTGTCTACCTCTTTATCTTCTCGTTTTTCTTTCTCCTGCTGTCTAACCGCTAACTTCCCTCTTTGTTGCTAGGTGTCCACTGATAGCAACATGATTAATTAAACCTTATTCTCAGTAACACAGGTGTTGTCCCTAAGCGTTTTTCTTTGAACTTTTTTTTTCTTCTTCTGCATATTCTGTAAATTTTTCTCATTGGATGGTCTCTTCTTTGACGTAAACGTATTGGCCTGTATATGTAAATGTAAGGTTTTTTGGGGGGGCTCTTCTAATCTTTTCTCTCCCTTGACGCTCTTTCCATTCTCTTGTTTTTCCACGGCTCAAAATAGAAGTGGAGCAAAAAGGTAAATGACTGCTCTGGCTCCTCAGTCCTCAGCTCCTTGTTTTGTGTTGTATGGTTTCAAACCCTTCCCACTGACCCCAAACCTCCACCTCCCCCGCCACCCCATTGCCTACATGATATCAAGATGGACAAGATCTGTCGAACCCAAGCCCAGAAAATGTTGGGTTGGAGGTTGTCAAAAATCAACCTCTTTTTATATTGTTTATACATAGATATCTTCTGTGCTCTATATTGTATATTATTGTCCATTTTCCAAGGTGATGTGTGTAATTTTTTCGATAAAATGCTTTATAATCCCAGTATAATCTGCGGAGCCAATTAAAAGTAAGCTGTCTTTCATTTGATTCCCTGCAAAGTGTAAACACTGTGGGGTTATTGACACATTACTCTCTGTATTTAAGTGTCTAGTCCAACCCAACTTTGACTCCAACCGATGGTGAGACTAAGGTAGGACCGTTTTGTTTTGGAAACTGGTTTTGAAAACCTGTTTGGAAACATTTTTTATGCCATTCTATTCAATGCCTCAAGTAGCGCAACAATTGCACACTTCACGTTAAAGTACGATAAGCTCTTTGGCACTGTTGTTTCATGTACAATGAACTTTGGCTTAATTTTATTTGGCTTTTTCCTTCAATGATATTGATGGGAGAGAGAGGCCATCTGCATGTGATATGCTGTTCACCACAGACTTTGCATTTCCAACTGGTTCAACAACCAATGACGGGTGTGTTTGGCAAAGGCCTCGCTCTCATATTCGTTCCTCGGTGACCAGAGTGAAGACTCTTTCCTTTGGCTTTCATCCTATCTGTCCTGAACAGCATTGTCATCCTGTTCCCTCGACCGTCGTGTCCTTTCCTCTTGCCTCTCATGTGTCGTCGGTTCTTTCCTCAGACATGATCCATGTATGTGTGTTTACTTTCAAAGGTATGGCATTTGCAACAAATCCGACAAACCCTCCCCATACTGTCGACATAAAAGAATCGTGAACGTAGATAATCCAAATGAATGTTATCTGTCCATTAGCATTGTTTCTCTCATCTTTTTTCATTTACAGGACTTTTTTGCCGTCCTCTTTTTCCCTCCTGTCTGTTCCTCTCAGTTAAACTTGTTTGAGAACAATCTCAGGGAGCAAAGCCACCTCAAAACAGCCTCTCACTTAACCTCTCGTTTTCTTTTGACTATGCACGCGACACCAATTATGACTGCAAAAATGATATTGTGGTACATTAGCTTCGGAAATCCATGTTTTACTTACCCATACCCAAAGAATTGGACCCAAAGAATGCATATAAGGTCATTACAGAGTGCACTGCTGGTTCATTTTCTAACTCTTGTTCTCGACCTTTCTTCCCAGTTTTTATTTGCCCTGGGACTCTGAAAGCAGTAGGAGATCCAGCCTTTGTCTTTGAGGCTGAACAGCAATCTGGAGCGTGGTGCAAAGACCCCCTGCAGGCGGGGGACAAGACCTACTTCATGCCATGGACACCGTACCGCACCGACACGCTCATAGAGTACGCCTCACTCGACGACTTGCGAAGCGGTCGACAGACGACTACCTACAAGCTTCCGCACCGCGTTGACGGAACTGGATTTGTGGCCTACGACGGGGCCATCTTCTTCAACAAGGAACGCACGCGAAATATCGTCAAGTTTGACTTGCGGACTCGGATAAAGAGCGGGGAGGCCATAGTCGCCAATGCCAACTACCACGACACCTCGCCCTATCGCTGGGGTGGGAAAACGGACATCGACTTGGCGGTTGATGAACGGGGACTGTGGGTCATCTATGCCACCGAGCAGAATAACGGACGTATCGTTCTCAGCCAGCTCAATCCTTATACTCTGCGCTTTGAGGTCACATGGGAGACCGTCTACGACAAACGCTCGGCCTCCAATGCCTTCATGGTGTGCGGCATTCTTCACGTTGTCCGTTCCACCTATGAGGAGAATGAAAGCGAGGCCAGTAAGAGCCAAATTGACTATGTGTATAACACCAAACTAGGGCAAGGGGACTATGTCAGTATGCTCTTCCCTAACCAGTATCAGTACATTGCAGCTGTGGATTACAACCCGAGGGATAACCAGCTGTATGTGTGGAATAATTTTTACATTCTGCGATACAATCTGGAATTTGGGCCACCCGATCCGGACGAAGGTAAGATTCATTATGGTCTTTGTTGTGTCTGATTTGTCTGTAGAGCGTAGGCTGATTTAGTTTTAATTTTGAGTACTGTAGAGGACAGATCCTTGAAAGAGAGTCCTCTAAATCAAAATAGCTCAAGTGCATGGGATTACCATTTTGTGTGATTGTCACAGTGAAGGCATATTATAGCAGTGAGCCAAACTAGGCTCTCAATTGCTCGGCTCAAGTGGCTGATGAGTCTTTGCAGTCCTGTTCCCCTCTATTATGGCCATAACCCGGTAAATCTCATACATAAGCTCAGACCAGGAACTGCAGGGGGATCTTCACAATTGCCATGTTTCACAAAAGCGTCTGAGAAGCCTAGAAGAAAATTGTCTCAATTTGTTCCCACTGGTATCTGATTAATTTCCTTAAGAATTGGGTTTTCAATATATTTCGACAATCCCAATATCATTTGGTGTGTGGTAACTTCACATATATTGTAAAACTTGGCAGATTATTGCTGAAGTGAAAAGTTTATTATTATGAAAAAATGCACAAAAATACTATTTCAAAATGTATATGAAATATATATTTCCAAAACATTACTCTAAAACTGCAAGAAAATCAAAGCCATAAATAAAAAAATCGAGCTTTCAGTAAGATTTTGTTTGGGCGCAGTACCAAACGGTTCCACTAGATGAAATCTGCTTCCCATTCATTTTCAATGGGGTCATTTTTTTTTTATGTCGAACAGTACAAGGGCTATTTTTTTCAGGATCATTTATCCTTTACGAATCATGCCCTTTTTTGTGTATGTGTGTGTTCACATAGCAAGTGCCAAAACCTTTACCAAGTTTTTTACCATTTCGATGAAGTAAAAAAAAAAAAATAATAAAATAAATATATATATATATGTGTTTGTGTGTGTGTGTGTGTGTGTGTGTGTGTGTATTGTCACGCCTATGGACTGTATTAGTTTTTCTGTCAAAAATGCACAAACAACACCAGATGGTTAACGCGATAGTCGTTGCATGGCCAAATGCATGTATGATTGCCTTACAACAAGGTTTGAGGAATGACTTGCCAGAGAAGAAAAGATCAGTCATCAAGAGCCATTAAATGTGATTGTGAGCCATTAGACAACATTCTTCTATTAGCAAGAATAATTAAACAGAAACTGTGAAAATTACTGTGCCAATACCATGTGCATGCAGGAGTATATTTTATGTGCAGAAAGGCACACATGTAAAGAATTATTGTTTTGTAAAACCATGTATCTTTTTGCAAAGAAGGGCAATGTGACAAATTTTTTTTCTAAAACAATATACCTAGTCATAAATATTTCCCTCCTCAACCTTCATTGGCTGAAAGTCTGGCACAATGCTGTGCGCCGTTGAGCATGTGAGCAGTGAGAGCTCTGAGCACACCGAGTATGTATGAGGAGACAAAGCCAGTGAGATCTTGCACATGTAATGGACTCTGATGTCAGAATTTTATCCAAATGGGGACATCAGCACATAACCAGATAAGCTTTTCAGTGCCAAATGATTTTAGTTTGCTCAATACTGAGTTCACATTTGTTTGTATGTACAATACTTTTTTTGTGCGCTCAAAATATCACGTTGTGTGTGCAGAGTTGTAGCATAAAAATAACTCCATAAAAACTATGGTAAGTGGCACTGGTGCCTGCTGTGCTTTAGCAGCACTACCCCTTTTCACTAGGCCAGATTGTTTCCATTTCTGTTGCCGTCCTCAGCCGTGTGCATGCAAAGGTCGAGCCTTGAAATTCCTGGATCCTCCTTCCCCCCCTTCAAGCCACAATTAAGTCGACACACCAAATGTTAACCGGCCCACCATGCATAACGGGAATGCATGTGTTGAGCCTGTTTTCATTCTGGCACTCACATGAAAATGTAATTAACAACTGAATTATCATAATTACCATTAGTGGGTGATCAGGGCAGTGCAGCAAAATCAGGCTGGTTGTGAGTTGCCAATGAGAAACCAGTGGTTTTGTTGAGTTTGTTTTGCCTTACTCCAATCTACTAAGTTAAGTGTACAGTATTGATTAAAATTTTGAGCTATCGGGTCAAATTTCATAGGAAATTCCAGGCTTGCTTCATCCGTTCTTGCATGTTTACGTCATGTCTTTAAACACTTGTCCAGCTGCTATATCCTGTTTGTGATTGTGGAGTGATTGTACCTTGTTGTTACATTAATAGTGTTATGTAGAATTTGAACTAGTTAGTGAGCTAGCATTTACAATTGACCTTGGCCATACAAAATCTGAACCACAGAATCAGATATGATACTTGCAGTTGCTGCCAAAAATATTGGTACCCGTGTTTATTTTTTTCCCCAATCTCTTTTTAGAAAACTTTAGAAAGTTGATCAAATAATAATAATAGTTCTACTAATTTTACTAATCTTAATTTTCTAAATGTAAATCTTGTTAATTAATAAAGTTAGATTTTAGTTTTAATATGACATTTGAATGTGAAAAAGAATCAGATTTGAAATAAATCAGGTGAATGAATGATTCAATGACTCACTCATAAAGATGACTTGACTGACTTTGTCATGAATTGCTTTTTTAAATTTTTTAATGTTCCCTGGGGTCCTCTTGATGTTCATTCATGCCACCTCGGAGTTGCATTAAAGAGCTTCTGTAAATGCACCTAAATGCTGCTTCAGATGCTGCTTCTGTTCCACCTCTGCAGTGCAAAGATGGCTTTCGTTGATGCTGATTTATTAGATAGGTAACAGCCCTATAGTTTCTTATTATTCTAATTAAATTGGATTAAATTTAAGAATTTGGAAAAAGATGACGGATACATTTAATAAGGTTAGAAAATGCCAGTATAAATGTAAAAAATGCCCCTGGAAATCAGTTTAAGGCAAATATCGCCCCTTAATGAAAAAATTAATTTCCGTCACTACTGTGGTTATAAAACCAGAGCTTAAACTAGGACATCTGCTGTGTTAATGAAAGTATAATTAGACATTCCTGTTCACAGTAACATAGCTTTACACCAGCGAGCTTGTGCTGAACATACACAAAGCACTTGTTTGTTGCCATTAAACCTCAGGTAATTTAATGTTAGATATATAATATTTCTCCGCTGACTGCTCAATATTAATATATTATGTTATATTTAATTTCTCAATATTGATTGCAATCAAATATTTTTCTTAGAAAGAAAACGTGAATAGTGTCTCTTTAGCTGGAATGGACTCTCTAAGCCTGATCTCTCAGCGCAGAGATAAATTGAGTTGCTTGCATTAATATTCACAGGGAACGCGGTGAAGCCCCAAAGCAATACCTGCCCACAAAGCATCTGTAGAATTTGCACCATCCAAAACTGATGACGCGAGATGCGTCTATGGGAGCCATTAAATCTCATTACCAGACTTTATGAGCTGCGTATTAAGCCTCAACTGTGAGTTATACTTTGGGTAATTACATGCTAGCACAACTTCCAGCTTTTAAAAGAGTACCAGGGACACCGTTGTGCTCTTTAACCGCTGTAACAACACCCTGAAATGCTACTGCAAGTCGAGGAACAGAGAGTGTTAAATCCTTCTTAATAATCCTCCTTTGCTATTCTTATAATTCCATGGGGGCACAGACCGATATGAAACACGCTGATTATAAGGGGATCCTTGTGCAATGAAAAGCGTGCTCTGAAAAAAAAAAGGCTCGAACCAGAATAGAGGATTGAGCTTTCCTATTGAGTCAAACTTGTCAATATAGACCCTAGAACATGATTTCTGTTTACTGTATATTATATTATAGGTAAAAATCATCTCCTGCCATTACACACAAATTTGTATGATAATGAAATCTGTATGATAATGTTGTTAGCGAGCAATCTTTTTTTTGAAAGTTGAGGCTTCTTAACAAATGTGAAATGAAAATGCATCTGAAAGGTCTGTTCACATCAAGATTGGCAAATATATTGGGCTAAACTAAGAAAAAATGGACCTTAGTGTAACTAATTTGATGTTATAACTCATTCAATCTCCTGTTTGTCTTTTCTAAATCTGTTATTGTATTTTTTATTTATTTGGAGGAATATGGTGGAGATGAGTGAAGAGCACTGTTGCAAAAATCTACATCAAGCCTATGTCTTTCTGCATTTTACTATAATGTCCAAAGAAATTGTTGAAGCCAGCTGCACTTTTTAATGACAGAATATTAATACAGGGTACATTAATATAAATACATTAAACTTGAGATACATGGATATTTGGACATTTGCATACTGATAGGGACGTAACGATTCACTCAACGCAATATGATGCAATATGATTCAGGATAGGATTTTCTCACAACATGTTTTTTTTTTTAACAAAGTCAGATTTAAGACAAATTAGAAATGAAAAAGTGTCTTATTATTTCTCAGATAAAATGCTGCGCATTTCTTTGTGAAACTGAAATATGTCAAATAACAAAACTAAATGTAAATTTTAAAACAAATCCCAAATCAAATAAATAATATAAATAAAAGAAATCTCTTCATATAAACAAACTAAGGCTTTGTCTGCTCTTTCCATTTAAAAGTAGAAGCAGCCACTGCATTTTAATCCCGATCCAAACAAAGATGCTGCAAACATGCAGCACGAACTTTAAATTATTAAATTAGATTGTATCATTTTAGTATGAGAGGCAAAAACAAAACGGTCTGATTTTAACTTTGTGAAATTATGCTACATAAAACATATCTGCACAAAACAGAATCAGCAGGTGGGCTGAATAAGATGCTGATTCACTCTCTGACAGCAGGTGGCGCTTGTGGAACAGCAGTGTTTCCTTGTTTACCGCTGTAAACAAAGCAGCTTTGCTTATAAACACTACTTTAATATGCATTATAGACCAATTTCGGTTTTTGCAAACAGTGATGAAGTTTTTTGTGGGCGGAGTCTATCTGGTGACAGAAAATAAAAAATTTAAAGTAGCAGTCTACGCAAGCCATGGAATAAAAATTTTAGTTTATATTTCAAAATTTGGACTTTTTTTCTCACAATTC